CCACGAATGAAACACAAAAGCTCGCTGGTCTCGTCAATGAGCATGAACCATCACGCGAACTCCGCTCATCGTCGCAGCGACGGCTTTTGGCTCGGCCATCGAACAAAGACGGGCCCCAATGCATTGCGCGGCTCGTTCAGATGCCCTTCCGCAACCGTCTGGAACGCTTCTTCCTTCCGATATTAGATATTGGGGTAAGCCCCTTTAAAATCTGCATTGAAAACTAATTTCTTTTAGAATTGCTGTTTTTGTGTGGAGTCTGTTGGCCTTCCTCAGCACCTCCAATTAGCGCCGGTTGGCTCCGTGCAGGGCGAAATAAGTTCAACATACATGCATCTATATGTGATTAATAAGTTCAACATACATGCATCCACAGGTACTGAATAAGTTCAACATACACGCATCCACAGGTGCTGAATAACTTCAACATACATGCATCCACAGGTACTGAATAAGTTCAACATACACGTATCGACAGGTACTGAATAAGTTCAACATACATGCATCTATAGGTGATGAATAAGTTCAACATACATGTATCGACAGGTACTGAATAAGTTCAACATACACGTATCGACAGGTACTGAATAAGTTCAACATACACCTATCGACAGGTACTGAATAAGTTCAACTACTTGCATCTAAAGGTGATGAATAAGTTCCACATACATGCATCGACAGGTGCTGAATAAGTTCAACATACACGTATCGACAGGTACTGAATAAGTTCAACATACATGCATCTAAAGGTGATGAATAAGTTCAACATACACGCATCTATAGGTGCTAAATAAGTTCAACATACATGTATCGACAGGTGATGAATAAGTTCAATATACATGCATCGACAGGTACTGAATAAGTTCAACATACATGCATCGACAGGCGCTAAATAAGTTCAACATACACGCATCTATAGGTGATGAATAAGTTCAACATACATGCATCCACAGGTACTGAATAAGTTCAACATACATGCATTGACAGGTGCTGAACAAGTTCAACATACATGCATCGACAGGTGCTGAACAAGTTCAACATACATGCATCGACAGGTACTGAATAAGTTCAACATACATGCATCGACAGGTGCTGAACAAGTTCAACATACACGCATCTTTAGGTGATGAACAAGTTCAACATACACGCATCGACAGGTGCTGAACAAGTTCAACATACACGTATCGACAGGTGCTGAATAAGTTAAACATACATGCATCGACAGGTGCTGAACAAGTTCAACATACATGCATCGACAGGTACTGAATAAGTTCAACATACATGCATCGACAGGCGCTAAATAAGTTCAACATACACGCATCGACAGGTGCTGAACAAGTTCAACATACATGCATCGACAGGTGCTGAACAAGTTCAACATACATGCATCGACAGGTGCTGAACAAGTTCAACATACATGCATCCACAGGTGCTGAACAAGTTCAACATACATGCATCGACAGGTGCTGAACAAGTTCAACATACATGCATCGACAGGTACTGAACAAGTTCAACATACACGTATCGACAGGTGCTGAACAAGTTCAACATACACGTATCGACAGGCGCTAAATAAGTTCAACATACATGCATCGACAGGTGCTGAACAAGTTCAACATACATGCATCGACAGGTGCTGAACAAGTTCAACATACATGCATCCACAGGTACTGAACAAGTTCAACATACACGCATCGACAGGTACTGAATAAGTTCAACATACACGCATCGACAGGTGCTGAACAAGTTCAACATACACGCATCGACAGGTGCTGAACAAGTTCAACATACATGCATCGACAGGTGCTGAACAAGTTCAACATACACGTATCGACAGGTGCTGAACAAGTTCAACATACATGCATCGACAGGTGCTGAACAAGTTCAACATACATGTATCGACAGGTGCTGAACAAGTTCAACATACATGCATCCACAGGTGCTGAACAAGTTCAACATACATGCATCCACAGGTACTGAACAAGTTCAACATACATGCATCCACAGGTACTGAACAAGTTCAACATACACGCATCAACAGCGCAGCGACGTGTTCCGTGTTACAGCAAGGCAACTTCAAATGACGAAGTTGAAATAAATATATTCTTGGTATTGTTTGGTTCTTTCGGTGAAGTCACCTAGATAGAAAATAAAAAATAAAGTAAAAATTAAAATATAAAATTCAAAATAAAAGCAACAAAAACCCCAACGACGTTTCGATCGCTCAATATAATTTTGTTATTCACACTTTAATCTTCACTCCCCGGCCCTCGTCGACAAGATAATTATCGGTCTAAACCTGATTGAGTGATTATGGCCTTAAATGGAACTGGGAGGCTTAAATTAAACTGTTTTTTTGTATTTTACCAGGCAAGGCCCACTGAGCTGTGTCGTTCTTTTTCACAAGCGACCTGGCCACAAGTGATAGCTCAACGAAGTGGCTTATCACGTGGACATGTATAGCAGCAGCCAAATACTCTAAACGCAAGTTGATTTTAAAAGTGAGGATGTTAACTCCGATTTTCTTTTCTTTTCATCTTTGGAGAAGTGTTGTCGTTTCACCCGATTTGCGTTTCATATCGGCCACAAAGAGTAATTTGTACCATCTCTTTTCTCTCTCTCTCTCCCTCTCTGTCAAAAGTGCGCTGTCAAATATAATCTAATTAAAGCCATAGTGGGATTGTGATGTTTTACGGGTAAGGCCTTTACGATTACGGCGTTTTTCAACAATAGCCTGGTACAAATCTTGGTTTGAAGCTTTCGTGACTGCAGGAATCCATACTATTTGGTTCTTTCGGTAAAGTCACGTAGGTAATTTTTTTACCTACGTGACTTTACCGAAAGAACCAAAGAGTATGGAGCCTGGTACAATATTCGATATTGGAAGTGTCCCAGGAGTATGAACATATTTTGACAGTATTTACATTTAAAAAAGAAATATATTAATTATCCTTGGTTATTTCTGTAAAGTCACGTTGAAGGGAAACAATAAAATAATAAAAATATATATAAAACAATAAAATTCTCACGACGTTTCGACTGCAACACAAGCAGAGCTACGGCGCGCAGTAGACATCAGGTCACCTGATGATGACTGCTTGTGTTGCAGTCGAAACGTCGTGAGAATGTTATTGTTTTATATATATTTTATTGTTTTATTGTTTCCCTTCAACGAGACTTTACCGAAAGAACCAGAAATATGAATCACTGCAGTCACGAAAGCTTTAAATCAAAATATATTAATTCTTTATCTTGTTAATTGGATGTAGACTTATTTACTATTTTTAAATCGTGGCTCCTGATATATAGTAAATTTTTAATGCCGACCCAGCCTGGGTAAAAAAAAAAAACCTCGATAAACGAATATTCCGTATTGTACAATATAGCATGTATATATAATTCAATGTGGACTCGCTAACACACGGAGTTGTAATAGACACATTTGTTATAAGTCGTTACTACCTTTCATAGTATAATCTTGATTAACGTATCGTTGGCATCTACGGATAAAATGTGCCTTGTGTAAATTATTATGATTTCATTGCGTGCGGAATTAATGACAATTGCTAATTTTGTACAAGCAGGGAAATACAGTAAAACCTTGGATTGCGAGCACAAGTCGTTCCGGAAACGTGTTTTGTAATCAAAAGCACTCGTATATCAAAGCACTCGTATATCAGTTGTGATCACGTGACGCTCGGCAGTACAAAGCGTATACGTGCTACTCGTATTGCTACGACCCTCGCTCGTTTATCAAATTAATATTTACGTAAAAAAAATTGCTCGTCTTGCAAATACTCGCAGAACAAGTCACTCGCAATCCAAGGTTTTACTGTATAGATATCTAAACACTATATAAAGGTCCCAAAACACATTCAATGGGAATAGAGAAATGGCAAGTTAGATTTACTGGACATGTAATGAGAAAACGAGACACTGAATATAAATTAACTGGGAACTATTAGAGGTGCCATGGGAACATTTGGACACACCTCGGACTAAGTATCCAGTGCAAAGTTCTTGAGTAAATATTGTGACCAGAGAGGTGCATGGAAGGAAGGCCGTGGCTCGTAGACAGATAGATATACAGTCTATATCTAAACTGTATATATGTAAGGAGATCACCAATGTGTTCCACCTTGCGCGCTGGAACGCGTGCGCGCGCTCACACGCACAATGAGACCTCGAACGTAATTTGAATCGGCTTCATTAACGGAGACAACGTGAATTGCTTAGCGCGTCATGTGTGACGGGTTTAACAATCATCGGGCGCGTGCAGTGCTAACATTAGTTCATTTGAATGGTGAGTCATTGGTAAACGCGGGAAAACATCGCGCGGTGGGTGGCGAGTACTGGAGTTTGGGAAACCCAGCATGAGTAAGCACTTGCGTGGCCCCATTCGATTAAATCGGCAAATAACATCGTCTGCTTTATGCGAGTACGTTAAACATTGCCCTGAAAGTAAAAATGAACGTTATCACGTGACGGATGCCGGCTATTATGGGAGATTCCATATATAGTATATTAAATGAGTTCTGCAGATATACAATTAAAATGATCAATCCGTTTTTATATATATGTACACATACATACAGACGTTCAATATATCCGTGGTATGGCACGAACTTAGACAACACCTCCCAAGAATGTATCGAGCGCTTATACACAAGACAATAGTAATAATGCCACGTGTTCTTTATCTATGGCCACGATAAGCATCACCGAGTTTCCAGATTCCTTTTCAGGACGAGCCTGTATTGGTCCAATGCGTCTGTTGAATTTGTGGGTGTCTTTTTGTTTTGCTTTCATATCCCGCGCATTCGATGGACTAATAATACTCGACATCATGTGCAGACATTTCAATGAACCCACTTGCAGTGCTGCCATTCAATTGAATTTCAAACGCATTCTTATTGGCGATGCTGACAGTGGCAGTGGTGAACGAGCAGAAATGACAACAACAATGACAACAACATTGAACACATTTGTACGTTGCATACAGAGGCAGTAGCAGCTACACAGCACCACAGCGGACCGTGTGCACGTACTCTCGATCGGTTTCAAGATTGCAAAAAAGGGATAATACATCGGAACTGTTTTTCACCTGGTTATATAAAGGAAACCGATTGTTTTAAAACTAGATCAATTTTGTCGTTGTATAGTCCCTACATACCGACAAATAACCAGGCTCTTCCAGGATCATCTCAATTCGCATTCGCCTCGTGAAATCAAAGCCAAATAGTCAAAGCATCTTCTTGCTTAACCGATCAATGCAATAGTCCAGTATGTCGTTGGAAACTCCACATTTATATGATGAGGACCAGGCTCTCCATAGGATTACCACTCGACTGGCTGGTCATCCTATTTTGGACTCGCAAACTTCAAATTCCGAGGCAAGTGTGTGTGTATGTTGAAGCTGTTTCGTTACCGTACGTAGCCAAGCGTGCTGATGGGAGGTGCGGGGGAAGGACAACAAACTAAACACAACAAGCTGTTGTAAAGAAATTAATTTTCAATCTAATTTATATTTAAAAGATAAGATTGCGTGGCCTTAAACGCGAAACGTCTGTAATAGGCGACGTTTCGGGCAACGGCCCATCTTCATGTACTATCACTCCCTCACTGACGTTGGACGTGACTATAAAATAAATATATTATTATTTTAAATTTTAATGGAAGATTTACACGTATGTGTACATATATATTTAAAATGCGGACCAAAAATGTTCACCCTCTCAAAGGGTTCGAGCCTAACGCACCTATCATTATTTTTCTTTGGTGAGCGGGAGGGGGGTACATGCATTCACGACTCTCATTGTATGCATATTGGACTTCTTTCGCACCGTACAGTAGCTTTACCGTGCAAATCGGAGGTGCGGGAGGAGGATGATAGGCGGTGGCATCTCTGTGGTGTGAGCGTTGACACCACAAGCAAGAGCAGAAACGTGGCCTGACCCCATCCCTGCGAGTGCTACCGATCAGCCTCCGTAGGTTTGCGAGACCCAAAGTTTCAAATAGTTTGTTTTCGAATTTGTCCAGAAAAAGCTTAGACTCGTGTGTGTATATATATTTTGTCTATGTGCCTTGTCCTGTCTAAGAGATGTCAGTTACCGTGGGCTTTCTATCTGTTTAGCTCCGTCCGTGACATTTATTCAAGAACGTTTTGTTAGACGGTGCCAGGTGCATTCGGACTCGTGTGTGTATATATATGTGTGTATATGTGTGTGTGTATATATGTGTGTGTGTATGTGTGTGTATATATGTGTGTGTATATATATATGTGTGTGTATATATGTGTGTGTGTGTATATATGTGGGTAAGGTCCCATTCAATGAGCGCCTCTGACAGGCAAGGCTGCGTTGGCTGGGTCATGTAGCCCGCATGCCCAGCCATCGCATGCCGAAACAGCTTTTGTTCAGCCGGATCGAGGGGGCTAAACGGGCGCGGCACGGGCTAGAGAAGAGATGGAGTGATGTGGTACAGGAGGACGTGGAGCTGAGTGGACTTGCCGATGACTGGTACCAGCGGTGTCAAGGTCGGCCTCTGTGGGGGAGGCTCGTGAAGGACGCTACTGGGCAGTTGGAGGCAGTCGTCCTCCAACAACAACGGAGGGCGGAGGAGAGACGCTCACAACAACAAGCGGAGCGCCGGGTGGCTAAAGCACAGCAGGTTGGCACAGTAGGGGGCACAGGTGGTGCACCAGCCATTCATCTCAGTCAGTCGACCCGTGGCACCTGGGTCTGCCCCGTGACCTCCTGCCAGCGGGCGTTCGACACTTCACGTGGCCTCAAGGTGCACATGGCCTGGCACAAGCGTCGTGGTGACGTCACTGCCACTTAGTGGCGAATGGCGGTTGTTGTTGTATATATGTGTATATGTGTTTGTGTGCATTAACGTTCGTGACAAAAAAAATCCTGAGTCCTTGCAGGACATTATGCTGCTGTATGTTAATGACAATCCGTGTTTTCGGTATATGTGTATATCGATATATATACACACGACTAGAAACCAGGAGCGGACTTTGGCCGCTTTCCATCACCGTCACGGCCGCTTGCTCGTAAAGATGAAGTTATTACAAGTCCGATTCCACATTTATATTCCCAACCGTTGAAAAACGTACTAATAAATATCTCGTAGAGACCTAAATTATCCAATAAAGACGTTTAAATGTTTTTGATCGGAACATTTTAAAGGGGAGTGATTATTCGTGACAAATGTACAGCCTTTTAGCCGTTGTCGAGCATGATTACGAATTTACATCAACGACAAACACCCCCCTGTGTCGCCTTAACAGATTTTTGGGGCAAGCGCTCTTAGTGAGCACCTGTAAAGGCCGGAACGAAGAACGAGGGGGATTAATTGCCAGCACCACGCCCGGCCGAGCTTTGTATCTCCAGTGGCAATGTTTACACACCGAACCAGGTACTCATTTGAGGCTGAGTCGACCTCTGGGAGGCTCAGGACTGGTACAGATAATCGTCGCTGGTATTGCTGGCCGTGAGTGGGAATTGAACTCAGGTCGCCAGGTTCATAGTGCAGCGTTCTAACCGCAGCCCAACTGCTCTTCATAAAAACAAATAAACTCACAACACTCACTAATTCACCATAATCTCCACTTGTCAAAGGCAGTGTTAAATTGAATGCAGACGAGATTAAATGTTGTTTTTTTGTTGTTGTTTCAATCACTTCTTACAATTTTAATTTATACAGCGCCTGAATATACGAAGGAAGACTGCTCACTAGGCACTGCGCGGGCTCGGAGTGAGGATAATTGACGTAAGGCACGACCACTGCAGAACCCATCCATAACAATCTTATAATTTCGAAATCCGACATTTTAACATACAGCAATAATTTAAAAGAGGTTTATATAAAATGAAGGACGCAAATAAGGCGAGACGGATGCGGAGAGCCTAAATAGCTTCTGGAACTGCGCATCGCGCTCTTCTGGCTGAAACGGTGAGCGCGGCTGGCTACGTGGAGTGCGAAAGAAGCTCAACTTACTTACAACACGAAGAGCAGAGGAAGCAGAAACGGAATTGCGCCTTAACCAGGGGGGGCAGGACGCCGACTGCACGGACGGCCGCATGGATGAATTGGGAATGAGCAATTGCGAAATAAAATCGATAATCGTGAAAAAGGCGGGTAAAGAGGCCCGCCCTTAAAGTAAATCGCATTAAATAGAAATATATAAACGGAGGTTTTTTTTTAGGGAGGAGGGGGGGGGGGGTCCGACAAAAAAAAAAGTTCGAGCAAAGACGAGGACTCACTCGAGTGGAATCTGACCGCCTCTTGCGCCGGACTCAGCCATGCCGCTGAACTGGTGGAGGTCGCGTCCGTGTAGCCGTGATGGATGTCCGCGAGGCCGCCCAGGCCCGCGCCCAGCGCGCCGTAGCTCTGCACGGAGCCGTGGTGGAAGGAGGAGGGAGCAGTCTGTTGGTGCTGCGCGAGACTCTGATTGAGATGCTGGTGATGGTGGTGGTGGTGATGATGGTGAGGGTGGTGATGCAGCTGATGATCTTGACCGTGCTGCTGCAACAGTTGCTGCTGCTGCTGATGATGATGATGATGCGTCTGATGTTGATGGTTGTGATGCTGTTGGCCTGGTTGGTGCTGCTGCTGCTGTTGCTCGTGCAGCTGTTGCTGCTGCTGTTGTTGTTGCCTGTACGCGTTGCTGAACGAAACTCCGAAAGTGGAGGGCACATCCATCGCGCTCACTTTTCTGAACGCCTCTTCGAAAGGGCTCAGAATGTGAGCAACGGAAAACTGGGTTCTGCATTGAGGCTTCGGACTTAGTGACATATCTGCTGGGTTCAAATAGAAGTGTGAACTCGGCCCACTAATTACGACGATAGATGCGAATTCCCTTTATTTTTACGTTCCCTCGGTTTTTTTTATTATTTAAAGAAAAAAAACGTAAAAAATCGTAGAAATTCTTTATCTCAACAGATCCCAAAGAGACCGGGCCCTATATTAGTCAGACTCGTAGGCACCACCAAAATGCAGGTACGAAGGGGCGCGCTTGTGTATTTAACGTGGGCGCCAGGGCTTTAAGAAAGGCGGAGCTCGGCCAAAAGGGAGACCCTCACAATTGGACCGTTTCCCTCCCGAGTCCTAGAGACGCTGAGGCTGCCCCCCCCCCCCCGTCTCCCCTTTATCTCGGCCGAGGGCCACCCACGGACCCACGCCGCCCCGCGTGGGTCCGCGAACGCAGCACAATTAGGGCTGCCGCGCGCAGCTTATCGCCGACTGCTCGCCGAGGCCACGTGTCCCGCTTCTCAATCGAGTTAAATGTGACTGCAGCTGCGGGCTACTGCTGCTGTGGTGGTGGTGGTAGATAGCATTCTCTGTGCCACGGGTGGTGCTGTTTGTGTGCTGGACGCATGGCGGGTTTGGTTCTTATTTTTTTGGTGGCTTGTGTTCATAAAGCGTGATAAAAAAAAATAACATTTTGTTGATGATGATGATAATGAATGTACAACTTTTTTTGTCCATCCACAGCTGGATGAGGGCCTCCCTGACGCCTTGTGCGGGTCGTGAGCATTATTTTATTTGGCGTCGAGCAGGCGCCGGAAACCTGCGGCTCATTAAGGACTGCTTCGTGACGTTGCGCATTAAGACCGTCTCGTATTCACACGCATTGCGGCTCTTGTACTATGGAGCTGTTTTTGTTTTAATCGAATTCGAAAATAATGTTTCTTTTTGTTATTTTGGTTACTTACCCCTGGCATGGAGAGAGAGAGAGAGAGCAGTACAACAATGGGTGGTACAGCTACTGCCCTTATTGTTAACCCCGCAAAGCCCCGTGGCAACCTATTTGTGCGTGGGTGGTGATGCTCACCCATCCGAGAGCCCCCCAGGCTCGCTCTTGCTTAGCTCCCGAGATGTGACGAGGTTCAGCCCACAACGCATTAATTTGCTCGGAGGAAACCTTGAACTTCGTTACGAGTTTATATCTCAAATAATCGCATTTGCTGCCCGTTCTTTAAGTAGCTATACTTGTCTGGAGTGGAACCGTGCCGAGAGCCTTTGACTCGTTCGAATACGAGTTTACGAGTTCGAATCGCTGTAGGGATATGACACGGCCAATCATCCTGTCCCGGGGGAGGATACGGTTATGAGGAGATATCGCGTTGCGGTAAGGAAACAATGGTTCTCCGTTTTAATAGACAGACTGCGACCGCCATGCGAATATGGAATTTCCATCACCGACTCACGGATCGCCCATTTCTAATGTTATGATTAAGCTCATGGGGTGGTGATGGTGGTGGTGACTATGCACGCCTCGAATCCAGCACTGTGGGTCTCGAGGTACCATAACCCTGGCTTGGCCAGGAGAAGGGAAAGTTCAGCAAAAAAAATGTTGACTCCACCTGTTACTCCCACATGTAAACCACTCCTTATTTGGCCGATAGATATCTTAATTTATAGAGAGGACCGCAGAGCTTGGACGATTGTTGGCGCTGGCTCATTGCGTGGCTGCTGCCTGGCTCCGAGTCGCGTCTCCGAGTCGCGCTCTCTCTCTACGAGAGTGAGCGAATTTTGTGCGGTGACGGCGCGTTACAAGTTGAAATTATTAACATTATAAAGGCGCAGCCCTGCAACTGCTTGCTCACTGCACTGCTGGCAGAAGTAGTCTCCACCAGAGCAAACTGTTGATAGCAAGGCACCCCCCCCCCCTCTATTTGAGTGTGTCTTCCACACTAACCAAGATGTCTTGAAATAAACTATATAAACTACGAACATTTTTTTATAGGTAAGGCCCACTGAGCTACATAGCTCTTTTTCAGAAGCGACCTGGCCACAAAGGATAGCTCAACGAAGTGGCTTATCGTCGTGTGGAAATTCATAGCAGAAAAAAATACTCTCGACTCATGTTTCTAAACGTAGAGGGAAAAAACCGGAGGACCGGGAGAAAATCCAAGCGTCCACGGCGGGAACATGGAAACTCCAAATATATAGCCGTCAGGGTCGCGATTGAACCCACGACTTCCTGTATTCCGAGCGAGACATTTAACATCTCGCCACCGTGGCCACGAAGAGGTGGGAGTACCCACATTTTACCCCACCACACGCGACCGTTCGACTAGCTGCTCACCTCGTGAGTAGCCTGCCTTATACAAATCATGCCTAGTAATTACTACCTCACTCAAAAGACATTTTCCCTTGTACCCTCTCGGACTCCCGAGAGTCGCTTTGGTCACCTTGAGAGCCCCCGGGTTCTGGGCTACTTAACGCCGAGTGATTAATGAGTAACACCACCCCCCTTCCATCCCCTCCTGCACCATTGAGTGACGTCGCCGAATACATGCATCGGGATGCTGCCGCAGTGGGGCAGTGTGTAGTTCGCATCACACACAAACTCGACTTGCAATCCACCGGTCGCCGGTTCGATTCCCATCTCCCGGAGCGGCAGCTCAAACCAACGGGGCATGTTTCTTAAATCCATCCCGTCGTCTGTTCGCAGAGCGGTGCGAAATGATTGCGCAGGGTGCATGCAAGGCGCCTGGCCCCAGAGTGCAGGGTAGGCTAAACCACACTCGAGAGGGACACCTCCAGAACTAGCTGCAGTGGAGGGCCTTCTGCCAGCAGTGGCGTGAGCGAGTAATTCCAGGGCTGCGCCTTCACTTCTTATCATCAGCATTATGCACTTAGAAGTAATTGGTAATGTGTGTCCAATCTTGATTTGAGGCTTTCGTGACTGCGGGGATTCATACTCTTTGGTTCTTTCGGTAAAGTCACGGAGATGGAAATAAAAAATAAAAATAAAATAAAAAACCAAAGAGTATGATTTGTATCTAATTGATACCGCCTCCAGTAATTAGTAAATTAAATATGTTCGCTCATCTCTGAATGTATTGCCGCATTCGCACGTACGGACGGAGAAGCTAATTCACACTGGAGCGTTTATTTTGACGATTCGAGCCAAAATGCTTCCTTGATGACATCCTGGAAAGCAAACGGGGCGATGGACTGAACGACATATATAATTGTATTTACACGAGGGATTGAGAGAACAGAGTCGTTATTGTACTTTTGCTTTAACCCATAATGATGGCACAGCAACGCAACGTGATTGATTTTCGCCTCGAACCGAGCTCCCATCATTTCAAAGGAGTTTCCTTGCCAACACAGCATCTGAATCATCTCGCGGCGTTTGTTTAGTAAGCCTGACTGCTGATGAGGACTTGGCAAGTCAAAGCCGGTCCCGGAGGTGGCTAGCTTTAACAAATGCATGCTTAGGTAATATTGGTCAAATGACATTGCCTTTAAACGAAAACAAAAATTATATATATGAAAGGGGTGGATGACGTTTCGAGCAATGACACTTTACAGTATATCCAGGATGCCAGAGAGGTATCTGCATGCGTTGAACGGTCTCTCGCCTCGCCCGTGTGCTGTGAAGAAGCGCCATTGCCCGAAACGTCGCCGTTTATATACTTTATCCTTTTTCAGTCAGAGTCCTTGGCGAGAGTGTTGAGTTTGCTTGTTGTTATTTGTCCTCGTGCACCACTGCCAGCGCAACAACAACAACATCATCATCATCAGCAGCAGCAATCACCAAATAACGCTGCCATCTATTTTTTGCCTGGGAAAGCCAATTTGGTGATGGAACTAAAACGGATATTCGCAGTGGGCCACATGGAATAAACTTTCGTCTTAATGTTCGCTCGCGGCCCGTGTCCATTGCGTTCCATAGATCGCCCCCTCCCCCGTCTTTGTGGCGAGCCACTTGCTCGCAGTTTCCCCGACGCCAAAGTGGTGCCGGCACATTTGCTCAGCTGCGCTTTAGATGTTGGAGTGTGTGTGTGGGGGGTGGGGGAGTGGGGGTGGTGGGGGGCATTTATTCCGGTGATGTCACGGCGACTCCTTTCACACGCGGACGTCTCTCGTTTTGTTGTTGTTGTTGTTGTAAGCTTGTTGTTGTTGTTGTTCTTGTTGTTGTCAACTCCAGACCGTGCCTATGAACGGTCATATCTCCGTGCTTGCGGTCTAACGCCTTGATCGAGAATCGTGTCTTTTCGAACGAGAAGCGGGTAAGGCCCACTGAGCTATGTGGCTTTTTGTTTTTCTCAAGAAGCGACCTGGCTGTCACAAATTATATCTCAACGTCGTGGCTGCTATCGAAATGTGAAAATGTTTCGCGGCCAAAAACTCTCAACGCACGTTGATTCTAAATGTGGAGGGAAAACCCGGAGGACCCGGAGAAAGAAAAAAAATTCACTCGACCACGGTGAGAGCGACGCGCAAACTCCGAATATGCAGCAGGCGTCAGGATCGGGATCGAACCCACGACCTCCTGCATACTAGGCGAGGGAGTTAACATTTCCACACCACTCCTGCTGGGCCTGGGCCTTTCAATGCAGAACCGCTGAGCTGAACGCACGCTGAGGCTGATAGAGAGACGACAACTCTTAACGATAACCTGGTAACATTCCATGGTAAGTGCATACGTACGTGCTCGTTTAACATATTTTACTATAATACTGATAAGGTCAATTCGTGGGTTTATGCAATCTATGCGAGCACAGTGAACAATATACAATACAGGCTTACATGTTGCACATCAGCAACGTTTGGTTATTCATACCGCAGTGATTTGAGTGCGCAGTTCACAAGAGAGATGCCTGGCGGGGAGTGGAGTTTCGTGGACGTCCAGAACAAATGCCTCATTCGAGACCTAAATATCATAACACCTCCTGGCTTTGATATTCCTTCCTCGAAGACGCTGGTGGTGTGACCATCAGACGCATCGGAACATCACTAGGCCGACGGGCTCGTCTCCTCCATGAATTGGAAAATGTACGGGCAAGCCACAGTCGTGCGAGTGTGGGCCATGCAGCCCAAAGCCATGGCCCACATAGTAAATCCACTGTAGTCTGCGCTCTTCCAAAGGAGCAGGAATGGCAAATCAACACGAAATTCTCTCCTGAAGCCCTCTCGTCGTGGCGAATATACCTCGACATTGGCATCGAGCTCCTGAACATATTGGCTGCCATACGAAATAATAGAATGGAGAGAGAAAGAGAGAGAGGGAGGCTCAATTGAATTGCATTGTGTGGGACTGTTTATTATTATTTTTTCAACAATGGCTTTG